TGGGGGGGTATTATTTTTTTTTAATTTTTTCCCCTTTGTAGCCTTTTAAATGACAGTTGTCCTTTGTATTTCTGATTGTTTTTCTTTTAGATTTGAAATTGCTATCAATAGAACAGAAGATACAGAACAAGTTATAATTCCTGTTTGTTTAAGGGAAAAGTGCAGGCACACTAGCTACAGCCATAGTGGTTCTTCACTGTTTGGTCAACCTTTTCTCATAGCAGTGCCTAGAAACAATACTGAAGATAAACTGTATAACCTGCTGCTGCTAAGAATGTGGTAAGGTTATTGTTTAAATAAAAATGCATTTGTTGTGAATAATGCTAATAGTTGGAATCAGTATGCACTTATTTTTACGTGCATTGCTAACAAACAGATTAGATTTGAGTACTTAGTCTTTTATTTGCTTTCTGTTAAATACATTAAATTTAAAATTTTAGCTACTTGATGTGAACTACTGTGGATTTTAATTTGATTTTTTGTTAGCATGACCTCATCCAAAAATTATTTGAGAAGACAGTAGAGAGTCAATCTGTATTGTCAGTTTAGGGGAATTAATTCTGCTGTATACTTAGGTGGTTTTAGGGCTTGGTAAAATGGAAATGTTTTGCCAATTATTCTGCTATCGTTATACCTCCTGTATCTACTATACAAGTTTATATACAAATTTATGTTGTAAAACTACATGGTAGACACCTTCTGAAACTCGACTGGAATAAGTGTCACTATGTGGAAGAAATTAGAATCATATAACCTCCAATTTAAATTTATACTTCATTTTCTGTTGATGTAAATTTCTCTGTAAGTGAACCCATATATTTTTTTGGTGTAAAAAATATGGTTAATGAACAGTTAAAGAAATTATTTCTGGACAGAGACTAATACCAAGAATCGAGTTGTGTAAAATCAAGTAACTGCCAAAAAGGTAAGATCATAGACGAGCAGAATTTCAGATGTGCCTGTAACAGTAGACATGTTAGGTAATAAAACTATTAATTCTGAATAAATCAGAAAGGAGTGCAGGAATACAGTACACTACAGAGGATTTGCTGTAACTGTTTAATTATCTGGCTTGAACAATGTAAATATTTAAAAATCTATTGATTCTAACTGTTGCTTTCATTTGTTACATTTAGCCGATACGTAAAAACATGTACTGAAAGTGAAGACACTGAAGGATCCCTACACTGCTGTAAGGACCATGGTATCAATGGTAATGGCCCAAATGGAATACATGAAGAAGGATCCCCAAGTAAGACTGGAATATCTAAACTTGTTTAGTATTTTGTGTTCAGTTTGAAACTGAAGTTAATTCTGTAATGTCTTTCAATTATTGTTATTCTACCTCATTTCTTCCTCCTTATTCTTCCTATTGTTCCAGGTGAAATGGAAACAGATGAACAAGATGATGAATCCAGCCAGGATCAGGAACTTCCTTCAGAGAATGAAAACAGCCAGTCAGAAGACTCAGTTGGAGGTGACAATGACTCTGAAAATGGATTATGTACTGAGGATACTTGCAAAGGTCAACCACTCACGGGACACAAAAAGCGACTGTTTACATTCCAGTTCAATAATTTAGGCAATACTGACATAAACTACATCAAAGATGATGCCAGGCATATTAGATTTGATGATAGGCAACCTAGGCTTGACGGTAAGTCATGGGGAACAGGTTGGGCAACATTTGATTCTCATACTTTTTTCTGACTCCACTTCCATAGAACAGTGTTTCATTCTCTCTGTGTGCTATTTGATGTATCTTTTTTCCCAATAGTAAATTCTGTATAAATAATTAACTTGTTATTGTAATTAACCCTTAGAAATGCAGAAATTGTGTGTTTCAATTTTTCATCATAAATTCATGCTAGCATTGTTTAATTAATTTTGAAGAGTGTTTGCCCAAAGCTAATACAATTTCTTGTAAAGCAAGAAGTAACATTAAGAGAAAACATGTTTTTAATCTTAGAAAGATCTTTCCTTGCTTTGGATTGGGATCCTGAATTGAAGAAGAGATATTTTGATGATAGTGCAGCAGAGGTAAGCTGTTTATGTTGCTCCCCTTTCCAGCAGTAATAAAACTTAAATGTGGAAAATACATATTAATTAATGTGACATAAGAGATTGTAAGTCTTCAAAAGAAGCAGCTAGTATCTTTTTTTTTCATGTTATTCATAGTAAGTATGTTGTCATAAATAAACTTCATTTACGCATCTAAGTAATTAGCAAATCTGAGGCTTACTAATTTGGAAGTAAACCTGAAGCTGTGAAAACTTTTTGCTTGAATGGTTTCTGATCAGTTTTTCCATATATAGGAGCTTTGTAGTTACTGTTTATAGTAAGACGACATCACTAAAATGAGTTTTGTTTCATTTGTTCTCTTAACTCAAGAAATACTTCTCTTTAGGATTTTGAAAAACACGAAAGTGTGGAATATAAGCCTCCCAAAAAGCCTTTTGTGAAATTAAAAGATTGCATTGAGCTCTTCACAACAAAGGAAAAACTAGGTGCTGAAGACCCATGGTAAGGACAAAAAATTAAAATTGTTATGTTCTATGGTATATTTCTCAAAATGTAACCAGAAACACACTTGAACTTTAACAGAGATACCTAATTGATTCTTAATGGTATTTTGAATCTTGTCACTTCAAGCATAGTTGAAAACTCTCAAAATGTTTTCTGTTTTGATCCATTGCTCAACTAAAATTGTTACCAGATACAGAAGGTTATGTGTGTATGGGAGACAATTAACGCATTCAGAATGAGGAGGGAGGGTAGGTCCATAAGATACTTAGTCTGTGACCTGTGATCCACAGTGAATGAATAATGTTGTGCCAAATCCAACACAGTGGTTTAAACCATAGACAAGTATTTCTTTCTGAGATGAGAAAGGTTGGTGCATACTGAAGTTTTTTAATGCAAATACATAACTTGCCTTGCATTGATACATGAAATAGGGATGTGCTTAAACAACAGGTTTGTGGGGTGGGGGATATCTGTAGTCAGTAGAATTTCTCAAAATCATGTTCCAACCACTAAGTTTTTGGCAGAGACTTTAATTCTGCTTCATGGTTCTTCCAAATTATGATTTGGAATCGTATCTGAATATTCACATTTATAGAATGTTCCTGTAAGATCCTTCTTCTCCAGGAATTTTCTAGCAGATAAGAATCCTTCATCAACACCTGAGGCTCAGAATTAAGTTTGAAAAGAGGGTCTTACACTTTTTCTTTTGTGGATACTTAAAAGTTTTGGAGACTTCCAAACTTTGTCACCAGAGAGCCTCCTTTATTTGGGCAGGGGACGGGACTGACTGACAAATTCTCTTTTTTTTCTGGTTTGGCTAGATTATACAGTACTGGGTAGACTATTTGAGGTACCATATAACTCGAAGTATGGTGAAGCGCTTCCATTTTTGCAGCACATTCTAAGCAGAGTATTTAAACTACAAAATACAACTACTGCTGAAGTCAAGCAGCTCCTACTAGATACATCTCACCAGTTAATCACACTGTGTCTTTATTTGTCAGGTCTTCACAGGTCTAATCTACAAGAGCTCATCATCCTTAGTCCAGCACTATTTGTAGTCCAGATATTCTAAACCAGCTGGGAAAACAGTTCTTCAGTTACAGCCTGCCCTTACAATACTCCTAATTTCTTGTCTTTATCTGATGTGGCTATGTAAAGACACTTGTGCAGTCTTTTTTTAATTAGGGCTCATCTCTTTTTTTTCGTAGATCTTTATTTATTAGATACCAAGATATATGCGTAGACCACTTCACAGAAGAGTTGCTTCCATGCATTGTTCTTACTTACCTTCCTCCCTGAGCCTTAGTTCTTGAAATATTCAAGTAGGCATTGCAGGGAACAGAAATTTATAAGTCACAGCCTGTTTAGTACTTGCTTACTAAGGAGGCAAGTTTTTTAGTAAGGAGTTTTTTCAGGTTCCAGTAGTCACTGTTACCTGGTTTTAGTGGTAGGTGGGATGGGGTGGAAGATGGATGAATTTGGAAATTGAAACTTGGAAGAACCACAGTTGTCCGTTATTTATGGCTTTTCATATAGTCAGTTTTCCTGAAGTATTTTCATAACCCTTCATCTGTTTCTTATAAAATATGAGAAAGCTGTGTTTTAACTAAAGATACAGGGACTACTATAAGAGGCAAGAATCCTATACTGAGGGGGTGCTGCTATTGTGTTTAAAATGCTGTCGAGCTTCACTGTGAGCATGCTTGCACGCTAGCACCTCACGTTTTAAGCTGGAAGGGTTATCAATGGCTTAGTAACAGAAGATGGAACATGTGTGTGTGCTTCAGCTTTTGCTCATTCCGTTCCTCCCATGTTACTGACTTTCTCCATGGTAATGTATTTTAACATACATACATGCAGACTGCAGTTATTTAAAGGTTTGGGTTTTTTTTTTTTTTCTTTTAGGTATTGTCCAAACTGTAAAGAACATCAGCAAGCTACCAAGAAGTTAGACTTGTGGTCACTGCCCCCCGTACTGGTAGTTCATCTAAAGCGCTTTTCCTACAGCAGATACATGAGGGACAAGTTGGATACATTGGTTGACTTTCCAATAAAGTAAGAAACCTAAATATTTCGGTGCTAGAAGTGTAAAAGTTAGCATGACTAGGGCACATGTTTAATGCAACAGTTACGTAAAATGGTTTTGTTCTCAGCTTCCATGCGTGGATCCAGTAAACACTGATGACAAAATGCTGTGGGTGAAAAGTATGAACTTGGAAAAATAGTAATAGTAGATAAGTATGGAAGAACTCTGTCCCTAGTTTTGGCTAAGATTACTGGTTCCTGTTCCACTCCTCACAGAGGGAATGAGATGCACTGTCAGTGTAGTCTGGTGTATGTGGTTTTTGTGGGGAATATAAAGGGCTCAAAGACCACCAAAATATGAAATGGTTAAAAATATTATTAACATAACTTTCTTTTTGTTGGCTTTTTTGTTTTGTTTTTTGTGTGTCTTTGTTTGTTTGTTTGTTTTTTAAACAGCGACTTGGACATGTCAGAGTTCCTTATTAATCCCAATGCAGGGCCTTGCCGCTACAACTTGATTGCTGTCTCCAACCACTATGGAGGAATGGGAGGAGGGCATTGTAAGTTGATTTCAAATATCATCATTGTACATGTCAACTTTCTTTCCATGTTTAAGTACTGATCACTTTGAATCAATGGCATTTTTTTAATGGTTGAGGGACAATTTTTTTCATTACCTTGAAATGCTTTCACAAGTATTCTGACGCAAAAATCTATATGAAATGAACTTTCAAGGATAATTATAGGTTCTTCTATACTTCTAGCTGTGCATATTGTGAAAAGAGAAAATGTAAGAGCTCTGTAAGACCTACTGTACATTTACAACTGATTTTGTCTTACTTGTCTGTATTCTTGTATGTTGTGCATCTTCTTGAAAGAAAACAAGAAAGTGATTGAGTGATTTTATTTTGAGTGTCCTTTCTCACTATACATTCTCTTCAGAAGGGGAATGTTAGTGGTTAAGCTTTCTTTGCTTAAAAAAACAGTGTGAAAGTATGAGTCTAATAGTGATAATAGGTTTTAGTTAGTTAAATGTCAAGTGTTTGACAGTACCAGACACTAGCAACTGATTGTGTTACATCTATGAAGATACAAAGTCCTTAGATGTTGTACTTTTTTGTCCTAGATACTGCTTTTGCAAAAAATAAGGATGATGGAAAATGGTACTACTTTGATGACAGTAGCGTGTCCACTGCATGTGAGGACCAAATAGTGGCAAGTACCTTTTGTGTTTCTAAAATTGGGACTGTTGATGATGTTTTCTCCTTGAGGGAAAAAAAATGAAGAGTAAATCATGAACCTTGCAGTAAATTTGTAGGTAGTAGTTTGCGTTCTTTCAAAGAACAATACAAAACAAAAATGGTTTGCTCCAACATACAAAAATAACTTCTATGAAAGTTTTGGATTTCTTTGTAATTTTACCTTGTAAACTTGGAAGCAAAAAAAAAAAAATTGATAACTTGGATTGTAAATGTTTTGTCTGAAGCCTCATGAGCGTATTACACTTTTCTCTTTTACAGTCCAAAGCAGCATATGTGCTCTTCTACCAGAGACAGGACACAATCAGTGGAACTGGCTTTTTCCCTCTTGACCGGGAAACTAAACAAGGTGCTTCAGCTGCCACAGGCATCCCACTAGAAAGTGATGAAGACAGCAATGAAAATGATAATGATATAGAAAATGAAAATTGTATGCACACTAACTAATGGAAGAACTAGAAGCCATAAAAGAGACTTTCTCACTGGGGATACCTATTGAAAGAGTGAAATTGCCCACCAAATTAAGAATAAAAATCTGAGATGGGGAATTTCAGATAACAGAATGTAAATCTTTATTACATTTTAACATGTGCAGTACTTGAAGTGAAACAATAAAAACTTAAACAGAAATTGTCTCTAATGCATTTACAGCCTTGTATTCACAAGCTATATATAGGAAATCACAAATAAACCCCTTTTAAGTTTTCTGCTGCTGTTCTGATGGATTATGTTTTCTTTTGTTTTGGATGTGAGTTAATAACTAAAATGTTAAATCTGTGGACTTCTGACATTTATTTTCTTAGTACTGCAAGAATACTACTGCCAAGTCTAGTTTCTGGATGAATATATACATGTTCCTTAGGCTGTGACACAGACTACAAGTAAAAATGTCATAAATATATAAGCAGTAATTTTCTTGAAACAGCAAATTTTTGTTTCTCCCTAATAATGAATTAATTTTTTTTTTAATTCGGTCACAATAGAAGAAATAGCTTGAAAAGGTGTTTTAACCTTTTGTGATATAGTTGAGCATCCAGAATATTATGTTCATCTTACTACTGCTGTGGAACAGGTTCTGGATTTCATGCTGCATTAACAAAAAGTTTTTCAATTAAATGTAAGTATCCTCTGTTGCTTGTTGGAATCTACTCTGCAGACATAATTCCTGTTATCTTGCTTATAAGACATGCATAATTTTAATCTGGTGTCAGTCCAAAATTTAAAATTGTGCTGTAAGTTCTCTCTCCCCAGTTTTTGTAGTTTGACAGCTTGCAAACTACTCTGTAATAGGGTCAGAGTTCATAGTATTCTGTATCCATAGTAATGACTGTGTATCAGGCTTAGATGAGAATTTTTTCAATATAACCTGCCTTTAAATTGTTAATGAACAAAATTACTTTAAAGGTAGGCCTGTTAATTTTCTTTGTGTGTTCCTGATGGAATCACCATAGCCTTACAGCATATTTGAAAAGGTAACTCATTATAAGAGAATTGGCATTTGCATGTTCAAGTCAGAACCTGTACAGTATATAAGGCATACAAACTTTGAATTGGATTTGAGTTAACTATGTTCAGGGGTCCAGGATGCCAAAATAAGTGACAGTTTAAAACATTTTTTAATTTGCTGCTTTCCCTTTGATCTAGTTGGAAGAATGTATTGTTGATTTGTATACAATACTGCCTTTGAGAGGGGCTCTTCAGTGCGGGGGCACACTTCACATATCTACTACCTGGAGAATCGCTTGGTGTCCCACTGTTTAAACAAATAATTTAAAAACAAAAAAAGCAAAAAGTATGATGTTCTTCACTTGAACTAATCAAATACAATAGGTTATAAATTGTGTATTGTAAATAAAAGTTCACTCTGTGAGTGCACATTTTGGTAAATTATTTATTTATGTTAGCATTAAAGAGTTTAAAAAATTGCATTTGACCAGGATATAAATGAGGTATGTTGGACATGGCTTTGCTTTATACCTTGATATTAAAACTGGTGTTTCATCCTGGTATTTTAAAGCTGCTTTGAGGTTTTTTTTTTTTAAATGTAAACTAACCTCCTGCATGACAGAGGTTAAAATTTTGTCTGCACTTGAGTTCACTTGGGTTTACATTTGAAATGCGCATGTTTATTTATACAGATTTCAATAAAGCTATTCAAGGCCTTATTTAGTCTTCCATTTTCTTACAAATTCTTTTCCCACAGTGTTTGTGTAATGGGTAGTCTTTGTCTAAGACTTACATTATTGGTTACAAAATGGCTATTTAATGACCAACATGGAGTAAGATTAATAGTATTTCCAGAAGCTATCTTCTATATACTATTATATATAAAAGGTGTTTTCTCTTGTCATTGTGTAGCTCTAAAAGCATTTATAAGGCTGCAAAAAAAAAAAAAAATTGTTTATTGTCATAAAAACCTATTATTTGTTTTCTAAAAGTGATACTATAACAATAATGAAATGGAAAGATACTAACTCTGAGATGGTTGGTGAAATGAGGCAATATATTTAAGATTAGACAAACCGATATGGGTGGGGGGAAAATTATACAGGCTTTTGGCTTAAAACCTTGTAATTAGGTGTGGAATACAGTAACCAAATACAAAGCTATGTACTAAATAGCTTGTGAGTTTAACTTGCTTGTTTTAATGAGAGCACTTGAGAGATGAGGTTTATCTGTGGAGTAGAGGAAGTAGTCCTAGGGAAGCGATCATCTCTTTGAATAACACACACAAAGAGCCTCCCTACATTCATACTCCCATTGGTTTTCCTGTATCATGTCAGCCTAGAACTTGCTTGGAAAAATCGCGAAGGAGCAAAGGATCTGGTTTGACTTACCAAAGTTTCACTTTGGAGTTTGGAGATTGGAGCTTTAATATCTGATAACTCAGTCTCCTAACACACTTCATTCTCCCTTTGAAAATGCATATATATATACACACATATATGGCTTCTTATATTTGAATGAATGTACTTACCTACTAATAGCTGGATCATCCAGATAGAGTTTAAAAGGGTATTGATCAAAGTAACATTTAGTTAGGACAACATTACCTAGATAGTTTCTAATTTTTTGTTGTTGTTGTTATTGTTAATTTGGCTTCCAAGATTATACACACTGAGTTTGTAAGCTTCCTAATCAGATATAAAAATCAGTAGCATTTCTATATGACTGTCTCAAAGGTTTCTGGGAATTCAGCCAAGTTGTGAGTTTTCATAAAACTATTAGGTATTCACACGTAAGATATGATCATTCATCCAGTGTGGACATGCTTAAAACTACAGAAAGCATATTATTCTTTATGGTGTCTATCAAAAGTTGTTGTCACTCAACTAGTCATTTATATAGAGAAGAAAGAGGGTCCTAAAATCTTTTTATGAATCATGTCCGATAAAAATCTTTCTTTTTTCAGTTAAATTGACATCAAGCTTTTTGATGGCTATAACTATCAGCATAAACCCCAAAATGATAAGACAGAGTTAACCTTGTTAATGTGAGAGTCACAGAAACAAAACAGAGTAGGAGGCAGAAGACAGCTTGCAATTCCCATTTACTTCACAGATTTTGTGCCAGCAATACATCAGTGAAAGAAGGGCTGGGAGGGAAGGAGAGGTGAGGAGATACTGCCCAGGACCTCTTCTTCTAGCTGGCTTCATTCTGGATGCTTCTGTACAGATCAGTTCCCTGATCTATCATCTGCTTAAATTAAAGTCCTACCTGCCTTCCTGGCACGCTGAAGGGAAGTTTGCAACTTCCAGTCGAGATGACAGACAAGAAAAGCTGTCAGATATTACCCTGCCAGACGATGTAGAAACATCTCCTGCATCTATGGCTAGTCGCTAATTGGAAGGCTGCAACCCCTTCTAGCTTTCCCAGCAAGTCAGCACTGCGTTATGGAGTGCAGCGTGGGTTTTTTAAGCTTTTTTTGAAATCTTTAGAGGGAAGTCAGTATGGCAGGCAAAGAAATTAATTGGCAAACCTACCAGTTTTCTTCAAAAGTTGTGCTGCCTTCCTTGATGTCGGACTCTGTAATTTCAGGGTATGGTTTCTCATTGTTTCTAAGTACTAGTTACTTTGACAAAGAAAATCACTATAAAGGTAGTGAAACAGTTAATATGAAAGCTATATTTGATAGAATAAGCATATTCTGAGTCTGCAGACAAATTGCTCTCTTCAGATTTTTAGTTCTTTTTCCTTGGGGGGTAAACAAATTGTGAAAACAGTTCCACTTTCTTAGTTCCAACATTGCATGCTTTACTGGCACAGTGTGCTCCTGAGGCAGGCAGGGGGACCTGTCTTACTGAAAAGAAATTAAATCTTGGAATAGCATGGAAACCACAGAAGAGTCCAAATGTGACAAATTTATGACCAATTATCCATTAACTAGGGAATGAACTGGGTTACAATATGTCAGGTAGCATTAACAGTCATCCTGGGCCAAATAGTGCAAAAGCTGATACAGGACTCAAATGATAAAGAACTCATATCAATCAGTCTGGTTTTATGAAAAGTAAGTTTCATTTTGGGGGGGGGGGCACTAATGGAAAAAAATATAAATATTATAATGTAAGTGTGCCTAGAATTATTTAAGTGCTTGGTATGTAATTATCACCTTAAGTATCACATTACTTTCATCAAAAATGAGTGTTACGCAGTATCACCTGATACAAAGTTTAGGAACCAACCAAAAATCTCAAAATAGTTTCCATTAGGAAATCATTGTGGAACAGGGGTGTTAGTGAAGAAGTTAGTGACACTTGGTCTTCAATTAATGTTTTTATTTGGTGTGGAAAATACAGATTATAGCTACAGAAAGGTGGAAAGTAGCCAGTACCCCTAAATCCTGTGCAGCCCTGGTGGACAAGCAATTGAGCGTGAGCTCCCAGTGTGAAACAGGAGCAAAAGAACTTGTCCTTGGATACATAAGCAGAAATAAGAAGTTGACTTAACCTGCCCAGGTCTGTGGTAAGGATCCTGGGAAAACACCGTTTCAGTTACTGCCTTTTAAAAGTTCAGATTGTAACTTGGGAGGCGCTATAGAAAAAAAGTTACAACCCCAGAGTAAATACATTTGATATACACTAACATATAAAGAATTGTTTTCTCAGAAAGACTGCTCGGCAGTGCCTCAATTTGTGTGCGATGCCTTACGAGGGGGGGACTAACTGTACGCAGGGGTACTGGAGCGGAGAGAAACATCCAAAGAACCAATGGTTCAAAACTGAAACCAGACAATCTGGAAATAGAGGTACGTGTAGGAGCCTTTTACGCAATCACTTTGTAACCAGGAGAAGGAAGATACCAGCGGAACGAGCGGCGGAGGCAAGCGGTGGGTGCTGTGTTAACTCTGGGCTGGACGCCTTCCCTGGGCCGGGGAGGGAGGCAGCGGGGAAGTGCAGCCGGCCTTCCCTGGCCGGGATGGGGGCTTAGTCTGAGCCACCTGCCTCCGCTTTGGGATCCGTCAATCCATAAACACCCCGTCCTTTTCAGAGGAACGTTCCTCCCTCTTCAGACCTAATGGCACCGCTTACAAATCACTTAAAAGTTTTGGCTGTAGGTGTTTGCTCTGAGCTCAGCATGGTTTGAGGGAAGGCCTTCGCTGGCTGGTGGTGTAAGAATTCATTAATATT